TTCGCAGTATAATAATGCGAATTATCTATTTGTATAACTTTTTTTTTTTAACATTAAAAAAATATTTTTTGTCCAAAAAAGCATCATTTAAATTTCGGGCTCAAGAAAAAGGCATGTTTCTTTCCTAGGCCGACATAATTAGTCTCTTACCCTATTGACCAAGGCTGACAGGATTTCATTTAATTCACAGTCAATGTTATAATTACTGCAACAGAAATCTCAATTATTAAGGTAACTGGCTGTTACTTTTATCATGTATGCTATCTCGTTTTTTAAACTTTTTTTTAGTTATATATATATATATATAACTAAGCGATCGGGTTATATATATATATATATACATGATAAGCGATCGGGTTATATATATATATATGTTTTTTCATTGAGTCTTTTTAGTTTAAGGATCGGGTGAACGACTATCAGAATTTTTTACTCTTTTTTTTTTTTTTTTTTTTTTTTCTGTTCTTAGTTTAGTTTGTTTTTGTCTTTCTTTTTCTTCAATAATTTTTTTTTTCCAGGACGATAAAATAACGAGAGTTGAAGTGTTGAACTCATACAGTTTGTCTGAAATATATTCTTTTCACCTTTTCTGCTATTTGAAAATAGATTTTCTCATAATATTTCTAAAGTTTTAGCAATATTTTTTCAATAGCTTTAACATAAAGGAAATAATCAATGAATTAAATTGTCAGTAATTAAATTTATTTGATTAATATTTGAATCTTACAATGGGTGTTAAATAAAGTTTAACGGAAGAATTTCGAAATTGAACTGAGGAGTGCAGTTACGTATTTTAGTAGAATAATTCGTAATTTATTATTGTAATATTAATTCGGATATTTCGAAGGGAAATTTTCATAAAGCACTATCTTTTAGTAGTAATTAGGCATCTATAGATACCATTTGCTATATTACGGATTATAGATACCTTTTCTGTGGTTATAAGATGTATTTGATGTATTTAAGCTATTGTATTCATGAATACAATAGCAAAAATAGGCGTGAATCAGGGAAGTCCAGCTAATCAGTTGTACTCGAGTGTATTCGACTGTATTCATGGAGTGAAACATGGGATTACAGTTGGACAGATTATTGTATTCGACAGTATTCACGGCGTGAAATAGGGGATTATACTGTTTTTAAAACGGAAAGTGAATCAATTAACATAATAGACTCCTAATATAACTCAACAAACTCAATTATAACACACAAATTTTATATTTTCAGTTATAAAATAAGATTCTCAACCGAAAAATACCCAAAAAATATAGCAATCTTTAGAGAAATTATATAATACATCTGAATACATAAATTATATTAATTAAAAAAAATATATGAATTCATTCATGGCATATAGCGAGACATTAAATAAAATAAAATACATAGAATACAGCGGGATACATTGAAATACAATGAAAAAAAAGACAGTGAATACAATGAAATACATGAAAATCATTGAAATATATTAACAGAAAATCAAGTTGCTTAGCCCCAAACGCCGTTGTCTTTGTTCAAGAACAAACCCTAATTTCCGACGAATCCGCCGTTCACCGGAAGCCGGTAGTGAAAACGCGCCGCCTTGATCCAGCGATGGTGTCGGAGCCGAGGTCACTTCCTGAGCAGAAGCAACCGCCGATAAGACTGCCACAATGGCAAAACAACATAAAATTAAAATCATATCTTAGAATCAAGGTCATGAAGACGGATCTTAGATATACCGTGTCCCTTTATCTTTAATTGATTTTGCAAACGGTTAAAGTAGATCTGTAAAAAATAGGAAAAACATAGTAGATCTTATACATGAGGGGGTTAAGAAATTTTGTTACCTCGTTAAAGCAAGAGAAAATCGTAACTTAAAGCTTTCATTATTGAATAGCGTATCAAAGTAGAGAGAGAAAGAAAATAGTGTAACTGAATAGCATATTTAGTGGCTTAGGTTAGAAGGTAATCAAAATTAAATATTTTGCTATAAACATTAAAAGGTATCTATAAAATATAATTTTTTTAAATGGTATTTATTTAAAATAAATAAGGTGTTAGCCTTTGCTATAGGAGGTAAAAATTCCTATTTGGAATTAAGTCCATAATAGGAATCCTCGTTAATTAAATACTGTGGTCCCTGCTGTGCCCGAATAATTATGAATTAAATGGAATTATATTTCTTGGTGAAAAAGGAGGACCCAACAGGTTTATGAAAAAGTTTTAAACCCTAAAAACTTGTGGCTATATAAAGAGGTTCTATTCTATAAGGAGGCCATGGTTTTTACTACACGATTTTCCTAAGAGAAATTCGCCCACACGAATTTCGCTAATGCCGGGCATTATTCGGGTCACACAGTAGAAAACTGTAGAATTGGAGGACAGGCTCGTGAACGATTTCGCTCTTGCTTGGAGGCTCTTTTCGCATCGCGATCACGCTTCAAGAGATAAGTATCGATTTTATATTTGATTAAAATCTGTGATTATGTGTTGTCTATATTATATGCAAGTGATTCTGACTTTTTGCTTCCGCTGTTCATACATGTTTTCTATCATATATAACACAGAGATTGTTATCAATGGAATGATAATACATGCATTGTTAATTTAAATCACGAATTCGTTGTTATATGTGTACATGTACAGAAATTTAGTTTAAAAGAAATTTAGTTCAAAATTATTAGAATTCTTACTATATAAAAATTTCATGGTTATAATTTAGGTACTGTTGTCCAATTTTTTTTAAAACATACATTTCTTATTTTGTCTTATATTGACTTAAACTAAATTTTTATTATTTTTCTTTTGGCAAGCAGGAAGTCAAATGAAACTAAAGGTTACTTTTTTTCTCTCAAGACTTATTGAGTTTTGCTTCAATCATCATATATGGTAAGTCTGAATTGCTGAATTGCAGAGTATGAATATATTTTTTACAAAAATATTTCAAATATTATCTATGAAGCTGCTCTAGTGTACCATGTTCTTCCTCTGTCTGAATTCAGGTCATTAATCATAATACAGTAGGAAGTAATATTTCATAAAAATAATACTATAAGTACCATTTTGATATAATAAAGCTCTGTCCAATTCAGGGAAACGAAATAGTTTGACCGATGGACCTTTTTCGATTAATTAAAAGAGTTGCATATAGGTATTATAATTGATCGGTACACCCTCCGGACAAGCACCGTCCGACGAAAAAATAAGATAGGAGTAAGATCAACGTACATACTCCCTTCCTCAGACTTCACATGTAAAATTACATAAAAAGGCTGATTTGGAAGAAGTTTGTTGTGAAATTAAAAATGTATTTAGACATAATTTTGGGGTAAATTTTGATATTTTATAAAGTCCTTTTTTAATTTTTTTTCCTGGTAAAAAATCCCAAATAATCATTATTTGCCCAAAAAGAGGTCTTAAACTGTATTTGGGATTTGAAGTTTTGGTTTTCAAATTCTCTTAAAAACTAGATTAATTCTATAAGCAAACACATATTTGAGTATTTTATTTTATTTTGGAAAAAAACTTCCTAAATATATGGCCAAACGCCCGCTAAATATGAATTGAGACGAAAACCTTATAAAGCTCCTATCCCGATCTGCCTACTCATATGGAGGACAGATGCAAAAGAGTAATAAATGCATTAAGTAGGCGTTTGGACATAAGAATTGTAAAATTCGAAAAAATAGTGAAAAAATTTTTCAAGTGAAAATGATATTTTAAATTTAGAGTTGTGTTTGGACATAAATTTCAGTTTGGGTTATTTTTGAAGTTTTGTGAGTGATTTGATTTTTCAATTTTTCGAAAAATTCCAAAATACATCTTCAAGTGAAAATTAAAAATTTTATGAACAAACATTGATTTCGAAAAAAGATGAAATTTTTCTAAAAAAATCTTCCATCAAATTTTATGTCCAAACGAGCACTAAATTTCAATTCAATTTAATACTATGAGAGCAAGTCCCTTGAGTAGAGTCTGTAGTACGGCGATGAGTTGTTTAAAAAAGAAGAGGTGTTTCCCCTTGGGTAGGCACAAGCAAAAGGTAGAAAGTACAAGAAAAGTGGGTAGAAAACTGCAGCTTACAGAGTGTCAATTGCCATCAAATTTTTCTTATGGACGTTTTAGGCCTGGGTTCAAGTCCTTGTCTCTGTCTACTTGGCCACTTATTCTTTATTGCACTTTCTTTTGTGCCGTATACTTTGGGGCAAAAACCCATGTTTCATTTTCTTAATTAAACTTAATTCGGTTTGCTTCTCAATTCAAGAATCTTTATAATTCGGCAGGCATTTATATTATTATACACTCTTAAATAATGCGGCATGATTTTTTTAATTACTTAATTTGGTTTGATTCTCAATTAAAGAACCCCCTTAAGTAGGCATTTATGTTAGTACACTCCAAAATAATGCCGCAGCTGTCAATAGACCTTTGTCCTTTTCATTGTGAGCAGTAATTACATTTTTCCACAAATAAAAAAGGAATGAATGACAACAGAAATTTATAGTTACATGTGGAATTTTTTTTACTTTTAAGGTAATCTTATTTCGTAAATATTTTAACACGTAGAACTTAAACTCAAATATAAGAAGAGTACCTGGAGGTCATACAAGTAATTGGAACTCAGTACTTGAATATTAAGATTGATAAATAAAGTTCCTTTTTAACAAATATAGAACCTCTACTTAAATTTTGTCATTTTACTTGTGAGGAATAATGGAATCACATCCTAAGATTTCAGTAACCCCATGTATAAATTTGTTTAAAATTCGCTATCAAAATTAAAAAAAATTGACTCTTGAAATTCAAGCTTCACACCTGTATAAATTTTGTTTCAAGTTCGCGATCAAATTTAAGAAATTTGACTCTTGAAATACAAGAGCATAGGAAGTAGTTACTAGTTTTGATCGCTTTGCCTTTCTACCAAAGAAATGAAACATACTGCACTACTAGCAGACATTGCTTATCCTAACATAAACTAATTTAATACTGGGTACGGCACAAAAAGAAATACATGCACCAACTTCAAATGCAAGATAAATGGCTTCAACTTACCCTCATAATCATTCACTAAATTAACATACAAAACTCGAAACAAAAGAAATTCTACTGTTCAGAACTAAGCTGACTATCAGTGGAAGACGACCATCCGAACAGCAAACTACCATAACACAATCTTTTAAGTTAAAACTTGCCCATTTTAGAACCCTAATTACATACATATAATTATCACCAGCCCTCTCACTTTATCTACAGGTTTCAGCTTTGATTTCTCTAATACTATCATACCTTCTAGCCAAAAAGAGTTTTGATTACTTTCCATTTTCATCACATAACACTACAAGCATTTGGATTCTCATCACTAAAGAGTTGTGGGGCATGAACTGATACAGGGTATGGATTTTGAAACTGGTCAGCTGGATAAACCGGCCCGTACATATACGGGTATGGATACGCAAATTGGACCGGTTGCTGCATTTGCTGCATTATTTGCATCCCATTACCTACATTACCTATTATCATCTCTCCGCCACCAATGCCGCCTCCTTCCTCACCCTTCCCCTTCCCTTCGCCACCGCCTCTCTTTCCTTTGCCTGCGCCTTTTCCTTTTTCACCACCACCACCACCATTGTCACCGCCTTTCTCTTTCTTCTCTCCGCCTTCCTTCTTCGCCGGAACAATTTCAACTTCCTTTTTCAGGTGCTTCTTCAGCGTCTCGGCCAAATCCTTCACGTCCATTGATCCTGTCACAGTCACCAAATCCTTCTGTTTGTCTATTTTCATCTCCTTGTACCCTGCAATTACAAAACATGCATCAATTTTCCGATATACCATTCACAAATATATCCCCAAAAATTCAATAAGCCAAATATAAAGTCATGATTGTGTATACTTCAAATCTAACCTTTGAATTTAGTGACAATTTTGTAGATCTTCTGAATACATCCTTGACAATGGAGATGCACCTTCAGCACAGCCGTGGTAATCGGAGGCTGTAGAACAAATTGCAATGTTAATCCTAATTAAAAATGCTTAATGACTAATTAAATGAATAATAATAATAACAAATCTCAGAATATTCCATAAGTAATTTCTAATTATCACTCGTCAGTTTGACTAATCATGCGCTAGGAGCGCCGTAACTGATATAGTACGTGAGAGGCACGTAATTATTTGAAAATTGAAATACTGATTCTTTTATTATTATTATTATTATTATTATTATTATTATTATTATTTGAATGAAATACAGTGATGTGAAATGGCGAAGAAACAAACTGACTGCAACAAATGCGCTAATACAGGAAGAAACCGCTAACATACGCATGTGAAATTTGGGCACATGATTTAACCGCTTATTCCGGAGACAAATGAATCAAAATAATGTCGATTACTGGGAATTGAAAGAACAATGGAGAATGAATAAGACACCAGAAAATGCTAAACTGCGCCAGATGCACCAATAGGACAAAACAAAATCAGAGTAACAATTATAGTGGCGCATAAAAGTAACAGTGGAGTCAGTAATTTTACAGTACCTCTTTCTCTTTGCTTTTCTTGTTGTCTTCTCCTCCTCCTTTGTTTTCCTTTGGATCCTTGTTTTCCTTGTTCTGCTTCTTCTTTTCTTCGGCTGCGCCGCCGCCGCCGCCATCTTTTCCCTTGCCGTCTTTCTTTGGTACCGGCGAAACCAGTTCAACATGCTTGTGTGTTTTCTGCTCCACTTTTTCTCTCAGCATCACCGGATCAACTTTTCCGATTACCGTTAACTTGTTCGAATCAGCATCGCACTGAACCTTCTCCACACCTAAGTTAAGGAATAAAGTAAGAATATATGAGTCAACAGCAACCCTAAAAAAATTGAAAAGCACAAAGGCAAGGGAGGCGCTTTTCCCTTTAACTTTTTGCTTAGAGTTACACAGTTCCCAAACTCGAAGAATAAGCAGTTAGTAGTGATTCCTAACTGCTAATTTGTGTGGAATTAAAGTCAAATGCAAAAACAGTGAAACAGAGCACTATAGAAAACGAAGAAAAACAAAATAGCAAACACAAATTCTTGAAAAATGTGTAAATTTTAAAAATGATCTAGCGGAATACGTCATTATAGATAACATACCTTCGAAACTTCGAATTGCTTTGACAACTTTGGAGACACAGCCATCACAATGAAAATCTGATTTCAGAACCACAGTTAAGTTCCCATCGTTCTTCCCTCCTCCTCCTCCTTCATTCTTCTGAAGTTCTCCGCTCTTCTTCTTCTCTCCTCCTTCATTCTTCTTGCTCTTCTTCTACAAATTAAAACCGAAATACCAAAACAATGAGTCAAATAATAAGAAGAGAGAGAGAGAATAACTACCGAAATGCCATAGAATCAGTTTGCGATTCTTACCTCGCCCATTATGATATCTTTGGAACTCTCTAGAGAATGAAATATGGAAACAGAATGGAAACTGAAAGGCGGAGTTAATTTATAATGGGAGGGGAAAGAGTGGAAGAAGGGTAGTTGTATGTGCGCGAGAGAAGTGGAGAGTGGACCGTGTGGTACGGTGAGCTGTCATGGGAATGTGTGAGATGTTATGATGTCGTAAGCATACATGCATGTTATGTTATGATGATACTTTATGCATGGTGGAAAAAATTCATAGGGGTAATACAGGAATTAGGAAATGCTTATAAATTTTATGATTGATCGTGCAAAAAGTATTTACACAGATAACATATCTATAAATAAATTCTGAAATGAGTTTAAATTTGTGATTAATATGTAGAAAAGGTATTTACGCAATTGATTTAGTTAAGGTAATTAAATAAATACTCTTATCTATTATAAACATTGATAATTTAATTAAAATAGTAATTAATAAATTGCACCGATAGAAGAAAAAAATTACATTGTCAATTTTTTTTTTTGGGTAATTAAATTTTTATTAATCACCAGAATATTTACAAGAACTGAACCATAGCACGACTACATCACAGTCTGCTATCTAATTATGCGACTAAGAAACGCTTTCTACTAGAACTAAGTAAATACAAAACTGCTGAATCATTTCTTCAATTCTAGTAGGTGCACGGATATTACACACATATGCAATTTCCCTTACCAATTGTTCTACACTCCTTGATCTCTTTTCAAATCTGCGTTGATTCCTTTCGATCCATATTGTATGCACCCATTCTGTATATGCCATCTTGAATACCTGAGCTTTCTGTGATTTACCCTTTGCTTTTTGAATGATCCAATTCTCCAGTTGTTCCCATTGTTCTGAAGCTAGGAACCTTCATCCATTTTAGCACCCCTTCCCAGACTTTGACAGAATAAGGACAATCCATGAAGATATGATTTCTCGTTTCACTTTGACTATTGCACAGCTTGCATTCATGATCCACACTTACTCCCCAGGAAGCAATTCTATCCACAGTCAGAAGTCTGCCCTGCATCTGTAGCCATACTGTAAATTGCGCTTTTGGCCGAGCATTATTTCCAAACCTCAATGTTTTCCATGAAATTTTCTCATTGTTTCCCATTAACTGAAGATATATTTGCTTAGTTAAACTACCAGCAGTGTTGTATTGAACCAGTGGCAATGTATTTCTTGCCTCGAACAATTTCCTTACCATCCACCCAGCCTGTTGAGGAATAGCCATTTGACAAAATTATTGATTCTTTATATAGTATGCATGAAGCCATTTGATCCATAGCCTATCACTCTTATGTTCAATATCCCAACTAGCTTTAGTTATTGCAGCTCTATTCCATAATCGCATGTTTATCAAGCCTAGTCCACCCATTGACTTTGGTGTGCAAACCTTCTCCCAAGCTAGTAGAGCCTTCCTAGTGATTGTGTTTGTGCCCGACCACAAATAGCTTTGACAATAGGCCTCAATTGTATTTAGCACTTTTGAGGGGATAACAAACAATTGGGACCAGTAAGCTTGGATACCAAAGAGAACAGTTTGAATTAGCTGAGCTCTACCTGCATATGACAGCTTCTTGGCAGTCCAAAAGGTGATTCTAGACACCATCTTGTTAATCAATGGTTGCCACTGGATTAATGAGATCTTTTTTGTAGCTAAAGGTATTCCCAGATATCTGAAGGGGAGTTCTCCTTTGAGGAATCCTAAGAACTTTAGGATTTGATCCTGCACTCCTTGAGCCACCCCTCCAATGTAAATAGAGCTTTTTTCTTTGTTGGCTTGAAGACCTGATGCTCCTGAGAATTCTTTGAAACATCTATGTAGAGTAGCCACAGATTCAGCATCTCCTCTAGAGAATAGTAATAAGTCATCTGCAAAAGACAAGTGAGTCAGAGATAGCTTAGAACACTTTGGGTGGTACTTGAATTCTTTGCTTCCTTTCACAGCATTGAGGTTCCTACTAAGATATTCAATGGCAATTGCAAAGAGAAATGGGGAAATTGGGTCTCCGTGCCTCAGTCCCTTAGCTGCATTAAAGGGAGCTGTAGGTTCTCCATTCACCATAATAGAGTAGTTCACTGTCTTAACACACTCCATGATCCATATAGTAAACTTCCTAGGAAAACCTAGCTCATCTAGGACTTGCTCCATATACACCCATTCCACTGAGTCATAGGCCTTTTGGAGGTCTATTTTTATCATGCACCTAGGAGACACATTTTTCCTTGTATAGGACTTCACCAGCTCTTGAGCAAGAAATATGTTATCAGAAATCTTCCTTCCTGGAATAAATCCAGTCTGAGCCTCACACACAACAGATGCAATGACTTTTTGGAGTCTTGATGCAAGAACTTTAGAGATGATTTTGTATAACACTGTACAGCAAGCAATTGGCCTGTACTCCTCCACAGTTGCAGGATGATCATTCTTAGGAATTAAGTGACAGAAGTACAATTGATGGATCTATTCATCTTGTTGCTTTCAAAGAATTTCTTTACTGCTTTTATGATCTCAGGACCAACAGTTTTCCGTGACTTTTTGTAGAAGTAGGCATTATACCCATCCAACCCAGGGGACTTATCATTTCCAATTGCTTCTAATCCTTCAGCTATCTCTTGATCAGTAACTGGAGCACACAGCGAAATTTGTTGCTCATGATTAAGTTTAGGTCCCTTACTCATTGTAATCTTGTTGACAGCCATGAGGGAACTATTAGAGGTCCCCATCAGTCCTTTATAAAAGGACACAATTTCCTCTTTTAGTTCATTAGGATCAGATAGCAGCTGACCACCTAGTAGAGACTTGAGATCCTTGATTTGTTTCCTGTGGCATCTTTCTTTCATGACTGCAGCAAAGTACTTAGAGTTTGAATCACCTAATTGTATCCATTGTGCTCTAGATTTCTGCCTTAGTATGCTTTCTTCAATCAGGCTCCATTTCTCTAACTGCATTAGAGCTTCTTTCTCCTTTGTCACAAGAGTATCATCATAGTTTGCTCCCATTGCTGCCTGAACTTTTTGAAGGTCCTCTCTTGCCCTGTCAATCTTCTCTGCAGTTGCCTGAAATTCTCTTTGGTTCAGTTGTCTGAAGGCTGATCTCATTGCCTTCAACTTATTCCAAACATTCTGCATAGGGTCACTATCCAATTGCTTCTTCCAATGTGTCTCCTCTATCTCCAAAAATTGTGCATGCTCTCCCCATATATTGAAGAACCTGAAAGGAGCTCTGATTTTTTGGTTCACAGTGTGTAAAGTGAACAGCATAGGTGCATGATCAAATATGTTAGGTACATCATATTCTAACACGATATGACCCCAGTTCATCATCCAGTCATGATTACCAAAAGCCCTGTCTATTTTACTACTTACTCTCTCTACTCCTTGCTGCTTATTTGACCAGGTATAGTAGTCACCTTTCCATGGTAGTTCACTTAGTAAGGTGTAATTAATACATTCTGTAAACTCTTTAACCTCATTGAAAGTCACAGGATGACGGCTCTTTCTATCTGCAGTTGTTAGGATTGCATTAAAATCTCCATAGACTAACCATGGACAGTTAGTACTACTTGATATATCTTGCAAACTGGTCCACAAACTTCTCCTTTCTTCCACAGTGTTAAAGCCATAAACAATAGTCAGAACACATTGTAGTTTATTAAAGATGTCTCTAACTTCACAATGTATTAACTGAGCTTCCACCTTCAGGGCATTTATAGTATATTCACCTTGATCCCACATCAACCAGATTCTTCCATTTACTGCAGCAGAGTAATTATTTACAATCCCCCAGTTTGCAGCAATATTTGTAGCTATTTTTAAACATCTATGTTGCTTAACCCTGGTTTCCAGCAGGCCAAGAAGTTTGATATTTTTTATCCTTATATACTTCTTTAACTCTTTTTATTTATACACTTTATTCACACCCTTAATATTCCATATAAGCCAAGTCATTGAGCAGTGATAAATCCACCTGGTTCAGGTGGTTCTACTTGTCTTGTTCTCAGCACCTCTCTTTGTTTTGTCCCTATATTCCCATTCTTTGCTTACTCAACATAACAGCACTCAATTGTGGGAAATTGATCAAATTTAGCTCTGGGCTAGGAACCCGTTCCTTACCTTTAGAGGCATTCTTTGACACTTCAACTGGTGTTGTTACTTTGCTGTGTGCTCCATTGTCCTGTTGTTGCAGCATGTTCATACCATCATTAGCTTTAGGTTGAGTGACTTCAACATGGACTCGTTGCTGTGTATTTGCCAGTTGGCTCGTAGATGGAACATCTTTGGGCTTCCATTCCTGGACCATTTTCTTCTGCTCTTCTCTTCTTCTATTCTGTATTGGTCTTCTTTGCTGCTCAGGTTGCTTAGTGCAAATGTGCCCTATAGTTAGACATTGAGGGCAGAATTGAGGTTTCCATTCAAATACCACCTCCTGCTGAAATTTCTTTCCATTTGGCTCCATAACCACTATTGTGTCAGGGAGTGGCTTTGATACATTAACTTCAATTAACATTCTAGCATAGGAGATCCTTGTTTGTTTAGTCGTACACTCATCTGCAAATAGCGGCTTCCCCAATGCACTAGCTATTCTGCCCAGTGATCCACAACCCCAACAACTCATAGGTAATTTGGGAAATTTCACCCACAATGGAATCTCCGTCATAAACTCTTGACTGAAATCAAATGCAGGAGTCCATGGTTTCAAGATAATTGGTCGATTTCTAATAGAGTAAGTCCCAGAAAATAGAATTTCATTCATATTATTTGTATTATGAAATCGAACTACATAATATCCCTCCTATGCAAAAACAGATCTGGTATAGTTATAGAATTCCACATTTGAGAAATGTACCTATGCATGACTGAATATCCTGGTGTTTCCCCCATCACATAGACAATGAGGGCATTTTCCCACTTCTCCGCTTCTTTTTCCACTTCACTCTTCTCAAGCTGGACTATGGTTTCCCCATTAACAATTTGAGGTGGAAAGTAGCTTAGGGTCATCCCATTCTCCGCAGCTCTGTTTCCAGCAAATAAGGTGTTCCACTTTGGCTTCACATCCTCATCCTTCCCTTCATTTGCTTCCTTATTTGCCTCCTGATTTTCACATTTTTCCGTTGTTTGAACCTCCTCCACTTGAGCAGGAGTAGTTACCTTTTGGGCCGGATCTTCACTTTGTTTCAATTGATTTTCATTCTCCAGCTGCGAAATCACTGGTACTGGAGTTTTTTCTACATCCACCATCTCCGCTATAGTTCCCTTTTTTTACAGCTGAGCTTGATGAAGGTTCCAGATCTGAGTACTGTTCCATTGGTATTTTTGCAGCTGGTTGCTTTGATGTTGAAGCAATCGTCTTAGATTGAACATGCACGACACTTCCAAATGCTATTTGTAACTCCTTCTTAGGTCGTCCCCTTCCTCGACCTCGTCCCCTTCCCATGGACCTCCAGGGCGCACGTTAGACTAATCTGCGCTTAGAGAGAAGCTGGAGCGAAGAGAGAGAAATTTTTGTATTTTTTATTTTTATTTTTATAACGTTTACATTGTCAATTTCTCCTTTCATATACTATAATTTTTATTAGTTTGTCCAAGAAAATAATATATAACTCCTTTCGTCTCAATTTATGTAAAGTTTTTTCCTTTTTAGTTAGTTCCAAAAAAACTGTCATATTTTTATATTTAATACTTAATAGTTTAATTTTAAAATACTCATTTTACCTTTACAGCTTGTTTGGATGGTTGTTACATATCGTTTCATAATGTATTGCATTATATTGTATTATATCGTTTGATGAATACAATATTTAGATAGATTGTATCGTTTGCCACCGTTTCATGATGTTACGGACCAACAATATGAAAAATAACTTGCAATATTATAAAAAAATTACGATACGAGGTAAAATTATTATATAAAAAGGTCTGGTAAATGATAAAACAAAATTATTTAATATCAATTGAGAGAAAAGACAAGGTAATGATGCGACCACACCAAATCGGTTGTTGCATAAGTGGCACAATTCGCCGTTACGTATGGACGGATTTAACGATATGATACAATAAAATTTACGGAAAAGGGTCAGACTTGCCCCTAAAGTATCAACTCTAGTCTAAAAATGCCCCTCGTTAACCTATTTTGCGAAGAATGACCCTACCGTTAAAAATCTGGTCCATTCATGCCCCTAACGTCAACTTTTCGGCCCACTCATACCCTAAAAACTAACAGCCCTATTTTGATTAAGAAAAAAATTTATTATTTATTATGTGTTAATTTTCTATTGGCTTAAATTAAAACCTCACCCCATATCCACTTATTAGCCTACTCCGTCTTAGATTTTCACCCTTCAACACCCACGGATCTCCCTCTCCATCTCAGATTTTTCGGCCTTAATTTAATTTTTAGATTAACATTTTTTATTAAATCAATTTTCTGAGTGAAATCAGGTACTCTTTGAAATTAATGCTTCATTGTAAGATTTTATGGTTTAATAAGTTATTTTTCTGCCAATAGTAATGATCATTGAGCATTTGCAATATTTTTTGTTGTATATTTCCTGACAACTCTGCATCCAATTTTGATTATACCAATGATTTATTTGGTCTCTGCTCGGACCTCGACCTTTTTCTTCTTCATTGGCTCATCATAGTCTGAACATCCGACCATGTCCATAAATTAAGCCATTGTACGTGGATGCTCTTCAAGTTATATCAACACCGTCAATTTTAAAAAGAGACGGTTAAATCAAGAGAAATATTTGAGATCATATGCCTGAGAATATGAGAGAATACGACTCATTGGTGAATATGACTATAATAAACACTTGATTGAGCTTATTGTATGAAGCAGTAAAGTGTAGTAAGAAAAATTGATGATGAATGATATTTCTGTGATGGAAAAAAATATGAGTATTGATGTGTACATTTAATATACAAAGAAATAGGAAGAGGAAGGTGATTAACTATACGAGAGAGTTTTGTTTGCTTAGGGGGAAAAATGGATGTATGAGAGTTAGTTGGTGGAATAATTTTTAAAAGAAAGAGGAGAAAGAAACGGAGGAAAAGGGTCTTAGAATATGGGTGAGTTTATTTTAATTTAGGTGAGTCTTAAGTTAGGCCAATGGGACGATGACACATGAAAATTAATTAAGATTTTTTTTTGCCTAACAGGGTATTTGAAAGTTGTATGACGTAAAGTATTGGTGATAAAAAATTTTGGTTGTCTGAAAATAAAACTTTAATGATGTTTGTAGTGATTATTCAAATAGAGTGCAAGGTCAAAAAAAGGATGAGAAGAACAAGAAAAATATGAACGCACACACGCTAGGGGGGAGGGTGGAGGGGGTGGGGGAGGGGAGAGATTTTTTGAGATGGGGGGTATTATTGTACCAACTCCAATAGTCTAGGGGTAGTTTTTACCTTTTTTTCGTTATGACACGTGGAAATTAATTAAATTTTTTTTATCTAACATGGCCGTTAGTCGTAAGGGCATTCTTGAGCCGAAAAGATAACGGTGAGGGCAATTTTTTCAAAATAGGTGGACGGAGGGCATTATTGTACCAACTCCAATAGTCTAGGGGCAGTTTTGACCCTTTTCCGTAAAATTTAAGTAACAATATCGTATTTAAAGTAACAATACGATACAATACAATAGGTAACAACCATCCAAACAAACTGTTAATGTGATAATTTATAGCGACACAAATATCTAACTTATTTTAGATCATATGTTTCAAAGGTTTTCTTTCTTAAACTCTCGTCCAATCAAACACTATCACATAAATTGGGATGAATAGAATAATTATATTTGACTCAGTTTACCCTTAATGAAATTATTTAGGCACACAAATATTTATGACTTATTTTATATTACAAACTTTAGAAATCTTTCTTTATTTCTTAATTTTGTATTGAATCAAATAACATCACATAAATTAGGTTAGGATGGAAGTAAATATAACTTAAATCCTTTTGAATTTACTAAAGTGCGTGTGCTTTAGGACGATTGGGCTCTTGGGTAATTGATAGAAAACTTCGTTCGGTAAGCCGTAATAGGTGTTTGATGGTGGGCCGAAAAGATTAGTAAGAAGCCTTTCTGACTTTTTGGGCCTTTATAGGGAGGGTGTGTCGCTTTTTGTACTTTTGTGTATATCTTAGCTGTAAAGCATTGGCCTACTGAAGTCGTCTTTTGTAAGTCCACCACCATTTGGATTTCTTTAAAAGAACAAGGGAATTTGTACATTCTCAAGAGTAGAAGACACTTCTTTGTTTTTACTTTGATTTTGGGTGCATGCTTCGTTGTTCCTTCTTTGCCTTTCAAAAGGTATGGCGAAGTCTTTCCTTAATACGTTGACTTAGTTCTACACTTCATGTGTGTCGAGGCTAAGGCGAATGCAGAATTGTACTGATAAAATTATGGGTTTAAATTTAATTAGTATATTTTTATAAATAATTTCATACTCTTTATCAAATGTTATGGATTCAATCAGAACTTGTAGCCGGCAGATTATATTCGCCCTTGGTCGAGGAATGGTTCACAAAGAAAAAAGAAAAGTAAAGGGAAAAAGAGAAAGGTCAAGAAAGAGAATGCTAACTATAAAGCGAACAATGTTTTTTTTTTAATAAATAAAGTGGCGCTAACCCTATGGAGAAAATGAGGAGGAAAGTGTCTGTCCCACAACTTTAACTAAGATGATGAAATTAAGAAGCATAAGAAAACAAACAAGGAGAAGAACCAACTTAAAACAATGTGAATAAAACAAGAAGGAGAGTTTCGTGTTATTTTCATTTGAAGTCCTACGAAACATTTTTCTTTAACCTCCTCATATTGAAGGGTCTGTCGGATACATTGTCGTTAGTTTGAGGGGAATGAGAATAAGAAAGATAAGGAAACAAATAAGGAGAAGCACGAAGGAAATTTTAAAGCAATTGAATTAAACAAGAAAGTGACTTTCCTGTGATTTTCTTTGAAAGCATTTGGAATCCTAGGAAATTTTTCAATTGTCAAATATTGCGGACCTTGCATGAACGCGAAATACCTTGTGCACCGAACAATCATTTTCTTTAATATGACTAAAACAACACCATATGCTTATGTATGTTTTAGGAACTTATTGTTGGTCCATATTAATTGAATTCACTAAGCGTTTGGACAATATTCGACTCGTAATAGGAAAAGAAATATTTGAAGTTGAAGCTTAAACAACGATTTTGGAAGTTAGATATTTATTTGCAAGTTTCATATATAGCGATTTCCAACAACGGAGTCATTTGCGATTGAGATAAAAGTGTTACAACATATATAATAAGTATTGTGGCAAAAAATATTATTGTAATGCCACAGGAAAACCAGTCGTTTTGCCTATGATAAGCTGTAATCCTAGTCCATATATTAACAATAATATATTGCTTAATAAATCCAGAAAATCTTCTCAACGTATTTTTGAATAGCAATGGGATGAGGGGAAAGTCTTGTCCCGTCCTAACTGCTACTTAACTTTCTTATACATATTTTACGGCACCAAAATGAGCATACCAAAGGTAATAACAATAGTACTTACGTCTCAGTAATAAATAAGTTAAGATCAACCATATTAATTTTTATTTCTCCATGTAAGGTAAGCTCCGATCCATTCATGTAGCATATGAAAGAAAGCAGCTCATAATTATTTGATAGCAAAGGGAAGGTAGGTAGTAAAGGAAATGATGTTTGATATTATATTCTCATTCTTTATGTCTTTATTCTGAAACCAAATAATGAGCTTCAGAATAAAGATATGCTCCAATTCTATTGCATTCCTCAAGGAATCTCCAACTTGGTCTCAAACTCAGAATCGTCCATTTCATTACTTAACTGCCGGCAGAAACCTTTGGTGCTTTTGCTTTGACGAATGAATCGAATTGAGAGAAAATTCGAGCTATAACCTAGCACTTTGTGCACATTTTTTTTAAGTAAATAAGTTTCACCTTGCAAATTAAATAAGAATTCCCAACAGATTGTCTTAGCATTTTGAGCAGATAGCAAACAAATTTTTTGTTGAAGATAGAGCTCATCTCAATTTGGTTCAAATCAAGGATGAAGACAAGAAAGATCGCATCTTGGTTTCTTCGAATGAAAAGAGGAGAACTTTGATAACAGATCAATTTGGGGCTAATTCAATGAAAGATATTTCATTCAAGTGTGGGCTTTCGGAGCAGGCTTTATCTAATGAGAAAAGAAAGCCCACTTGCTGCCGCTGCCCTTCGGGCACGCCTCCTATGCTTATCACTCACCTACGCTCTTGCAGCATGCCCCCTTCGGGCAATACGGTGTAATACGCGAAGCAGCTGAGCCATAGCTCTTCGATCGCTATATTCTTGCGATAGCGAAGGCGTGGTTCATCCTCTAAGAGAGAGTAGATGCGAAGGTTCGGATCGAAGATCTTCGCGAGACAGCCCCGGGGCACCATAGCATGTCGGGAATAAGGGGGACATAGTGAACGTAACCACTCCCTTGGTTGGGGGCTGTGACTCCCCTATCCTTTCAATTTTTTGATTCCCAGGTCTTTTTTATTATCACTGTTGGAATATTATTTTCTCCTTAATGGGTTGTATCAGCAGAAATCAAAAGAAAGGAGATCCTTCTAGAAGATTAACTGACTTTATTAGATAATACATACGTTTGTCATTTATTTTTGTACAGAATATAATTTAGTTATTCATTAGCCAATTAAAAATAGGACAACTGTATAGTTAGTTATAGAAGAGAATATTCTTTCTGACATTTTCATTTTCTATATAAACAAGCATGTACAGTGTAAACATCAGCAAAAAGTTTTTGGAATACAAAGAAAACTTTCTTCTAAATCTTTTAAATTTCTACATGGTATCAAAGCTATAGGTGCTCATCTCTCTCATTTTTTTCCAATTATCTTTCAATATCTTCCATGGCTCCCTCTACAGAAACTCCAACTACTGTCGATTCTGCAGCTTCCACCATCATTGACACCTCAAACCCTTATTATCTCCATCCTTTTGATTCACCTGGAATGATTTTGGTGAACTCACTTTTTGATGGAAAGGGATATGCTGGGTGGAGTAGGGCAATTGTCATTGCTCTCTCTGCCAAGAACAAAATTGGATTCATAGATGGATCTTCTGCAGAACCTGCTTCTGACTCTACACAGCACAAGCCCTGGAGCCGCTGTAATGACAAGGTTATTTCCTGGATTCTTAACTCTCTTTCAAAAGACATAGCTGAGTCTGTGTTGTACTCGAAAACTGCAAGAGAAATATGGAAAGAGTTAACTGCTAGATTTGGTCAATGTAATGGTGCTCAGTTGTACCAGCTTCAAAAAGAACTCAGTGATGCCGCACAAGGTGCTTCTGATATTGCAGGGTATTTCACTAAAGTGAAAAAAATATGGGATGAGCTGGATGCTCTCAATACCTTTGATCATTGCTCTTGCAAATGCACCTGTGCTGGAAAGGCTAAGACCATCAAATCCCATCAGGATGGGAGGTTGATTCAATTCCTCATGGGACTCAACGAGACCTACTCTGGTGTAAGAAGCAGCATCCTTATGATGGATCCCTTGCCCTCTGTTAGTCATGCTTATTGTCTCCTAATCCAAGATGAGAAGCAGAGGGAGATTTATGTTGCTGCACATCCTGGAGAAGCAGCCTTCTTAGCAATCAATCAGAAGTTCAATCAGAGAAACAACAATACTCAAAAATTCACCGGTGGAGCAGGAAATTTTAAACAAAATCTTGATAAACAGAAGGGTGGAAAATATTGTACCTATTGTAAGATGACTAATCATGTTGTTGGTAACTGCTACAGGTTAATTGGTTTTCCTGCAGATTTTAAGTTCACCAAGAACAAGAGGAACCAGAGTCCTGTCACACCTCACTGCAATGCAGCCCCTGTTGCACCTGAACAAAGCATCATGCAATCAGGTCAGAATATGGAAGGTTCTTCCTCAGGAAATATCATCACACAAGAGCAGTATTCACAATTGTTTCAGCCTCTGTTTTAAAAGGCAAAATTGGGACTCGCCCCGGGGCGGAGCACTCGTAAAACGCCCCTGGGCTTATCTGTGGGGCTTAGTTCTGTGAGACTTACGCCTCCGCCATCGTGGCTTACGCCTCGGACACGCCCAGCGCCCAGCGTACTAGGCTCGCCTAATAGAACTTTATGCAATTGTATGTAACTAACCTTGTAAATCCTCAAAGTTTCTTAATAAATTATTGACTATTCAAAATTACTTTTTTCTTAATCATAAATCATTAAGTTGAGAGTATTTTATCATAATTAAAGTAAAAATTATTGCACGTTATCCACTAAGACTGCTATGATAGAATTTTAAATAAATCTTTCATTTAAAAAGTATTTATTTATTAACTTTTATTATGTCTTTACTATATAATAGTCCATAATTTTTTTATAATTATTTTTTAAATATTTTTTTTCTCGTTTACGAGATACAACACCTATTAATTTAATATCTCAGCATTAGCTAGTAACTATTAACAAATAATTAGTTATCATGGTATTGTATGGTGAATTATGTGTTACTTTATTAACTCGTTGAAACTTAAAAATAAATGATGCTAGAGAATCATATTTAAATTGTGAATTATATTTTTATATACATTCTCTTTCAAATAGAAAGCATATTAAATAAAAGGAGTATTTCATAAAAAATATCAAATTATAAAGGAGTATTGAAATTCTTTCAAGATTCATTACTCCTTAAGAGATACATATAAGATTTCATACCAAATACATTACTTTTGATGTTTGAATTGTAACGACGTTGCAGCTAATTTGCATATTATAATATATGTCATACTTTTCATATTAAGCATAGTTGAATTATAAATTATAAATAGATTATTTGTTATAATTCTGTGATTTTAATGTAATTTTTATAATTATTTTTTATTTTATACTATTTTAAATTTTTTGAAATAAGTAAAATTCAAAGATCCGTGGGACTTACGCCCCATGTCTCAGGGCTTACGCCTCGCTTCGTCAGATGTAAAACGCCTCGCCTCACGCCCCCGCCTTTTAAAACATTGGTTTCAGCTTCTTCAGGAGGTGAAGATAGGACAACAGAATGATCAAGTCACTGATGCCTCTATCTCTGCCAACTGTGCTGGTATTATCACACCTCATTTAGATCCTTGCTCTTTCTCTCTTTTCTCTCATACTGATTCTCTCTCCTGGATACTAGATTCAGGAGCTTCAGAGCATATGACCTATGATTCCTCTCTACTCTTTAACATTACTCTTTTACCTGCAGCATTGTATGTTAAACTTCCAAATTCACATAAGCTTAAAGTCACTCATAAGGGTAGTGTCACCGTTCTACCAGATCTAACTCTTCATAATGTGCTATTTGTTCCAGATTTAAGATTCAACCTTCTATCAGTTCACAAATTCACCACTCAATTAAATTGCCTTTTAATTTTCTACTCTCTTGGTGCAATATTGCAGGCTCCTTCAATGAAGAGGCCAGTGGTTCTTGGTGAAGTTCAAGAAGGGTTACATCTTCTCAAAAATGTCCCAGCAAGGCATAAATCAATTCCAGCAAACTCCACCTCTGTTTCAGCTTTTATCAGTTTTGTTTTAGCGACTAAGTTATTTCCTAAATCAGTCTGTAATGAGTCTAGTGTTGCTGCAGTTTCTCATTCTAAGTCTAGTTTTATTAAGCATACTTCTGATGTAAGCCTATGGCACACGAGATTTGGGCATTTGCCTGTCTCTAGTATGAAAACTTTATCCAATTTCCAGTATTCTACTTTGTCCACAATCATTGAACCCTGTGATGTTTGTTCTAAAGCTAGGCAAGCTAAGATGCCTTTTCCTACAAGCACTATCAGTACCAAAGCTATTTTTCAACTCATTCATGTTGATACCTGGGGGCCTTATAGAACTTCTACACATGATGGTTATAGGTATTTATTGACTATTGTGGATGACTTTAGTAGGGGAACTTGGACCTATCTTCTAAAAACAAAAAGCAATGCTTTCCCTGTTTTAAAGTATTTCTTAGCCTTGGTAGAAAGACAATTTAACACCAAAGTTCAAATAATAAGAACTGATAATGCTAAGGAGTTAGGTTCAAGCCTTTTGCATTCAGATTATCTCTCTTCTAAGCATATCATTCACCAAACTTCTTGTGTAGCAACACCACAACAAAATGGCATTGTTGAAAGGAAACACAAGCACCTTTTGGAAATGTGCAGAGCTTTACTTTTGGGAATGTTTGCTCACAGCTACTTATCTCATAAACAGGCTGCCTTCCAGAGTCTTACATTTCAAAACACCTTATGAGATTTTGTTTAGGAAATCACCTTCTTATGATTCTTTAAGATGTTTTGGGTGCCTTTGTTATGGAACAACTCTTTCTCATAATAGAAGCAAACTAGAACCTAGGGCTGTTAGGTGTGTTTTTCTAGGATATCCTTTTAACCAAAAGGGATATAAGTTGTTAGATTTGAACACTACAAGAATTTTTGTGTCCAAAAATGTTAAGTTCTATGAACACCATTTTCCCTTCCATTTACCTTCTCCGGTTTATCCTATTTTTCCCCCACAAAGTCAACCTAATGAACATTATTTTTCCATCTCTCCTATTCTTCCTTGCACTCAAAAGACTGTTAGTTCTTCTGTTGCTCCAACTCCTGCTAGCACCACATCCCCTTCCTCCCCACTATCCACCTCTCAACATCAGCATACTCCTATTCCTATCAATTTCCACTCCCCTTCTCCCAATGTCATTTCTCCGGTTCCTGTACGAAAGTCCACTAGAGTGTCTATCCCTCCTCCATATTTGGCAGATTATGTGTACAATGCTGTTTACTTAACTATCTCACATCTACTTGTTTTGCCGCTTCTGCATCCCCATCCGTTTTACCCTTCTCCGCCTTATCTCCTTCCAATCAAACTCTCCTAAAATCTGTTTCACATATTCATGAACCCTCTTCTTATTCACAAGCTTGCTTATATCCTTGTTGGCAAGAGGCAATGGCACACGAATTTGAGGCTTTAGAAGCTAATCAAACATGGGAGGTCATGGAACTTCCTAGAGGGAAATCTGCTCTACCTTACAAATGGGTTTATAAAGTTAAACACAATGCTGATGGTAGTGTAGAAAGGTTTAAGGCCCGCTTGGTTATTAGGGGAGATACTCAAAGGGAGGGAATCGACTACACTGAGACTTTCTCCCCAGTGGTCAAAATGACCACTGTCAGATGTCTCTTGGTAGTAGCAGTCAAAAAGGGCTGGAAATTATTTCAATTGAATGTCAATAACGCCTTTCTTCATGGAGATTTACAGGAAGAGGTATACATGAAGATTCCTGCAGGTATGCAGGCTCCTGGTCCTCATCATGTTTGCCGATTAAAAAAGTCCCTTTATGGGCTGAAGCAAGCCTCTAGGCAATGGTATGCCCGGCTCACTGCAGCCCTTAACTTCAAGGGATATTCTCACAGTCTTAATGATTATTCTCTTTTCTTTAAAAAGACAGATTGTGAGGTTTGTATTCTTGCAGTATACGTGGATGATATTCTTATTACAGGGGATGACCTTACTGAGCTTGCTTTATTGAAAGATTTTCTCAATTCAGAATTCAAAATAAAAGACTTAGGAGAGGCACATTATTTTCTTGGCATGGAACTTATTAGAGAGGAACAAGGCATCATTCTCAAGCAAAGGAAATTTACCTTAGAAGTCCTATCTGAATTTGACTGCCTACATCAAAGGCCTGTTGCTTCACCACTTGAACCATCCAACAAGCTACGAGCTGATGCTGGGGAACTCCTATTTGATCCTACCATTTATCGACGTTTATTGGGCAAGCTGAATTTTTTGACTAACACTCGTCCTGACCTTTCTTTTGCTGTTCAGCATCTCAGTCAGTACATGTAAACTCCACGCGAACCACATTATCAAGCAGCTATCCATTGTCTCCGATATCTACTTTCAAATCCTAGCCTTGGGTTGTTCTTCAGATCTGATCCGTCCTTCAAATTACTTGCGTTTTGCGATTCCGATTGGGGTTCTTGTCCGGAAACTCGTCGTTCTGTCAGTGGTTACTTCATCAGCCTTGGAGGCTCCCCCATCTCCTGGAAATCAAAGAAACAACCTATTATTTCCCTCTCCTTCGCCGAGGTAGAGTATAGGTCGATGCGACGGGTTGTTGCTGAAATTAGTTGGCTTGTCCGCCTTCTCTCTGACCTAACCATTTCCCCGGTTCTTCCAATCTCTCTTCACTCGGACAGTCAAACGGTAATCCACATCGCCAAAAACCCCGTTTTCCATGAACGAACCAAACATGTGGAGATTGACTGCCACTTTGTTCGCCAACAATTCCTTGTTGTCCTCATTTCTCTCCACTTCGTCCCTTCTACTTCTCAACTTGCCGATATCTTCACCAAACCTCTTAATGGTATTCACCATCGACAGATTGTTGGCAAGTTGGGGGTTTCTTCACACCCTTCCAACTTGAGGGGGGGTGTTGAAGATAGAACTCATCTCAATTTGGTTCAAATCAAGGATGAAGACAAGAAAGATCGCATCTTGGTTTCTTCGAATGAAAAGAGGAGAACTTTGGTAACATATCAATTTGGGGCTAATTCAATGAAAGATATTTCATTCAAGTTTGGGCTTTCGGAGCAGGCTTTATCTAATGAGAAAAGAAAGCCCAATATTTTCTCCTTAATGGGCTGTATCAACAGAAATCAAAAGAAAGGAGATCCTTCTAGAAGATTAGCTGACTGTATTAGATAATACATACATTTGTCATTTATTTTTGTACAGAATATAATTTAGTTATTCACTAGCCAATTAGAAATAGGACAGTTGTATAGTTAGTTATAGAAGAGAATATTCTTTCTGACATTTTCATTTTCTATATAAACAAGCATGTACAGTGTAAACATCAGCAAAAAGTTTTTGGAATACAAAGAAAACTTTCTTCTAAATCTTTTAAATTTCTACATTTTTCATAGGCATTCATTTGCATTAGGTCATCTTCAACCAACTTTTAATGAAGAAGCTCGTGGGATCCACTCTACAAATATAATCAGTTCTCAAAATATCACATCAATCCTATCATTACTAATTCCGGAGACGCTAAATATTAGAATTCGAAAAGTTTTCTTTTTCTTCTTCTTCATATTCTGGGCAATTCCGAGCTCCCTAATTATAAAATTTCAAATAGAAAGTCTATAGCTATTCGGCTATGCCCATCCTGCTAAGAGTTTCCCTTCCCTGCACCATTACTATCCCTAAGTGCATCACTTTAGCTTTAGAATACAACAAAACTCTTCTCTAACCAAAATCAATATAATGCTAATTAAATCGTTGGCATATTGATAAAAATTAAAATCTTGAGATGGCAACGAGTTTTAGACAAACTCGACACTGAACTTTAGCTTTTGATCTTGCATATAACATTTGGATTTTTATTACAACTGTATTTTAGATTATAGATTACATATTACTCAATCACATGGTTTTGTACTTCAGAGTTTCCTTTAGCATTTACAAATTTTCTCCTAATTATGGTAAATATATACACCAAATATAAGTTGTTTATTATTGTAGTGTATAAGGCTAGAGCAATGTGATGATTTGACTAGTGTGCCTGTGCTCCGGCTGGAGCTACTGGTGGCTCCTCTGTGGCAGCTTGTACGGGTGCTCTGGCTGCACCGTATGGACGTCCTCGGCCTCTACCCCGGCCCCGGCCTCTGGCGGCTCTAGCAGGGGGCGCGGGTGTTTGATTATCTCCGGTCGTACGTGTCCTCGCCATCTGTGAGAGAATAGAATACATAAGTTTAGAACTTTGAAGTAAACAAATCTTCGCACGACAAGGAATCAAAGAAGTGTAACTTTCCTAACAATTCCACAGCCTCCGGAAGATAAGTACAGACGTCTCCGTACCGCTCCGCGAGACTCTAATAAACAGGCTTGTGACTTATGATGTTCCGGGTCTTGGAAAAATTTTGTATGTATTCTTTTTGGAAGTTATTGTATATGCCGAGCGGCATTTCTCTCAATTACTTCTTTACTGTTGATGTTAGTGATTTAGATTTATGTTTTCAGTTTCGTTGTTTTTCTGCAATATTAGGCTTACCTAGTCGTAGTGATTAGGTGCCGCCACGACGTCTTACGGAGAGGGTCGTGACAAGTTTCTGGATCTTCTTTGACTCTTTATGTGCCACTTTTACGAATAACCTTACATACCATTATTTGACACCTAAATGCTATTTTCTTATTAACTCAACGATAATAGAAAAAATAGAACAAATAAATGAATACTAAAGAAACAAACAAGAAGCAGATGATGAAGAGTACAGGAAAACATATAAATTAATTATTGCTTCATTTTTTCACGTCTATCCATGCTATTTTATATTTTTTTCTCCAATTTATTTTATTTTATTTGTTTTATCATTAAGTTAATGTAAGAAAGTGATTAGTGACATTAAATAATAGTATACATCGCAATTCTCCAACAACCAACTTATTTATTTCTTTTAATTATTTTATCATTAAGTTAATGGAAGAAAGGGATTAGTGACATTAAATAAAGGCATACATAGCAATTCTGTAACAACGATAGGAATAGCGCAGAAACTATCACTGGACATTTGAATATTGAGGCGAGGATATGGGCAAAAGTTACATATTTGGCCAATGTGCCAAAAATAATTATATCTACTAGCCAAATATATAAAAAATATGTCTTAAAATATGAAAATTATATGTCTATTATATATTAATAAATAAAAAATATATTTTACCGACTATTATTTTTGAAAACGACTTTATTTTGTAGTTTTCCCTGGGCAACGGTACAATGGGCTTTACAAAGAAAATGTTCGGGGTGGGGGTGGTGGGGGGGGGGGGGCGTATTTCAAATATGAAATAAGAGAGCATTAGACAAGAAACTTAACGAAAGATTTTAGGGAAAATAACACTATATAGCCGCTCTCAAAATAACAGCCGAATATATATATATATTTTTTGTATATATATACATTGTGTATGTTATATACAAAATTATAGTATAATTTATACACTTTTTCGATTACCGAGCGTAAATAGTTCCGGACACGGGCGAAAAAGCCCAAGATTTTGTTACAACTTTTGGTGTCTTCCAAATGGGTAAAGAAATCTCCTACTTATACGACGAAAAATAGCTTGGTGACCAAGTAAGTAGCTTTGTAACCAAGTAGACAACTTAGTTCCAAAATAACTAGAGTAGTTCATGACTTTCTCCCCAAGTAATTTCATAATAATGAACGGATACATAATTAAGCAAGTAATATTTATAACAGAAATCCTATTTACCATCTCCTATCCATTCGTGGACTTAATTTTCCTTTTCTATCCACATTAATTAAAATACTCCGAAATAAACCATATATAGCAACTAGCTTTGCTCCATCTTCCTCCCTTTGATTCTTTCAATCAACCACATAAAGGACTTTTGAGCTTGTACAGGGGATTTTTCTTTTACTATGATTTACACGGCGATAATGGACACATTTTATCTAACAGACGAGCAGATTAAAAACTCGCCTTCACGGAAAGATGGAATCGACGAAGTTACAGAGACCACACTTAGAATCTACGGTTGTGATCTCATCCAAGAAAGTGGGATTTTGCTCAACTTACCCCAAGTTGTAATGTCAACTGGACAAGTACTATTCCATCGTTTTTACTGCAAGAAATCGTTTGCCCGTTTTAATGTGAAGAGAGTAGCTGCTAGTTGTTTTTGGCTTGCGTCGAAGTTCGAAGAACTTCCTATGAAAGCAAGTGAGGTACTTTATGTTTTCCACAGAATGGAATGTAGGAGAGAAAACTTACCCTTAGAGCATCTTGATACATCTTCCCAAAAATATGATGATTTGAAAGCAGACCTAATCAGGACAGAGAGGCATATTCTAATAGAATTGGGTTTCATCGGCCATGTGGAGCATCCTCATAAATTGTTATCAATTTACCTTGCAACTCTTGAATTAACACCCGAAACAGAATTGGTACAAAGGGCATGGAATCTTGCAAATGATAGTTTGCGCACAACACTGTGTGTAAGATTCAAGAGTGAGGTTGTGGCCTGTGGAGCTGTATATGTTGCAGCCCGTAGATGTCGCGTGTCGCTCCCTGAGAATCCTCCTTGGTGGAAAGTGTTTGGTGTAGACAAGGCTGGCATTGATGAAGTTTGCCGAGTTCTCGCTCATCTTTACAGTCTTCCAAAAGCCCAATATATCCCTGTATGCAAGGAAGGAGGCTCGATTGCTACGTTGAATAGAAGCCAAGAAGTGGCTAAGGAGGCAATAGTAAAAGCTGCTCTTGATAAGTTGAAGGACTCAAAGACGAGTAAAGAGGAGTCAAAAGAAGAGCATGCAAAAACTGATCATAGAACAGATGCTGGTGCAGAAAAGAACAAGGATAGAGATAGGAACAGGGAAAGACAGAGGGATAAGGAAAGGCTAAAGTTTCGTGAACGTGATAGGGAAAGGAAATTTGATAGAAAAAGGGAGCGAGAAGACATTGAAAGGGACACGGATAAATCCACGAAAAGGAGCCATCGTTCAAGAGAGAAAGATCACTCAGAGAAACGAAAACATCATTATTCTTCAAGGGAGAAGGATTATCGTAGACACCATTAGTTTCGAACTGCCTGATAAAATTTATGCCCTCTTATCAAACATTTCGAGTAGTTGCTAACTGTTTTCGCATAGTTCCTCTATGCGGAAATTGACTACCTGTGTCGTCCAAAGCTATATATTATCTGCATTACCAACGGTTACTCTTTAACATTCGGTTGAAGAAGTATGCCTTTTTATTGACTACCTGATTCTGGTTTCATGTAATTACAGGTCGTCCAAAGATTTTAATTGATGATAATGGGCTTGGTCTCATAAATTTAGAAGTATCTATCATTGTTCAATCCTAATCTTTCCTTTAACCAAAACTAAGAAAATTAAATTTCAATTCTCCACCATTCAATTTTTAAAAATGAGCAAAATACACCACAAATCTAACCTTCAATTGGAACTAAAGTTTTGAAACCTGCTATATATAGACACAAAAATGCCTTTTAATCGGACAGAACAAAATCAACGAAATCTCTCATTACTAGTAGCAGATACAGTGCATGAATTTTGCTAATCTAGGTAATTAATCATTTGAGTATATGCAATCATATACTAGAAGTTTCTTATACTTACCAAAATTATTCACAGAATTGTGCAAGCATTTGGATTCTCATCACTGAACACCTCCGCAACGTGATACAAATCTCCAGTAGTCACCGACCTGCACGTAGTTGAGATCCGGTACAGATATTCAAACTCTGGCAGGTAAACACCACTTCTGCTGTCCTTCACCGTCAAAATTTCAACGTCTTTCCTCAGGTGATATCTCAGTGATTCCGCTAAGGATTTCACATCTATCGTCCCCGTTACAGTCACCAAATTCTTTTCCCAGTCCATTTTCATATTTCTGCATCCTGTATTTACGCAGCGAGTCGAATTTTGCGATTTGAAATTGCACGAAATATATCAGTGATGAGTTCGATAATGTTATATTACCTCCGGTTAGAGTGATAATTTTGTAGATCTGCTCGTTGCATGAGTCGCAGTTCAGAGGAAGTTTAAACACTGCAGTTGTCACTGAAGGCTGTTGGATCGGAAATTGAGCAAACGAGAAAAGTTGAACAAATCGAGAAATGAGAATCGGTCGATAATATTAGTAATAAATAGTGTAACTAAGATAGAACGATCATAAGCTATGGAAAATGTAATTCCGAATCAATTCAAACTCACTGGGTGAAACAGATAAAAAAGCATCCCGCATTTGACTAAAATGCGCACGGTGCAAAATGCGCCGGTAACGGAGTAGTGATTTCAATTCCGTATTTAGCTCAAATACGAACAAATTGAGAATCAATCCGTAATATTAACAATTAACATACTACGAATTAAACAAGCTATGAAAAATGCAGTTCTGAATCGATTCAATTTTAATTCACAGAGAAACAGATAAAATACTTTCCGCAGTTAATTAAAATGCGCAAGGTGTAAAGTGCGCCAGGAACGGAGTAGAAATTTCAGTTCAGTGTTGTAGCGCATTACCTCCTTGCATATATGCTTCTGGTCGATCTCATTTTCCTCTTTACCCAGCTTAGGTGAAATAAGCGTCACTTTCTTCTTAAGTTTCTTCTCGATTTTCTGCCGGAGTTTCACCGGATCAAATTTTCCGATCACCGTTACCTTGTATGTCGTTCCATTTGCCTCTATCTTCATCGACAAAATCAGGTCTTCTCAATAGAAATTAGAAAAAAGGAAAATCAAAAAATAAATTTAAACAGAAACAAAAAGATATTGAAGAAAGTTTATACATTAGAAATTTAAACATTAGATTCATTATTACCATGCAAACCGTGAACGCATTTGAGAACTCTTTCGGAGCAACCTTCACAGGAACAATGCATGGCTATTTGGAGAATTGCGGTAACATTTTTGCCGCCTTCTTCTTTTTCTCCCATTTCGAGTGATACTTTTGGTTTTTCACACAGTGGGATTAGGCTTTTACTCTCGTTTACTACTTATAAAATGTCGTTTTGGGCTTTTTGGCGCGAGGTTATCTTGTTTGGCCTGTTAGTTTGGTGCATTTTTTTTGGGGGGTTATTTTTTTGTTCTTGTGTATTTTAGGCATTACAATTAAAAAATAACTAAAGAAAATACATGATTCAGTGAGAACTCAGTGGTACAATAGTCACCTCTTTAGATAGAGAAAATAAAGAAAAAGAATTATTTATTACTGTGAAAAACTTTCTGAAAAAGAAAAAAACAATAATGCTTTTTAACGTATTAGTTTATTCTTTTTGACGGTGTAAGCTTGTGAATAGTGAAAAATAAAAAAAATGGAAGAGGAAAAGATAAAGTGCACCAGCTTTGCTAATCTAGGTAATTAACCATTTGAATATCTGCAATTGTACTACTCCTACTAGAAGTTTCTTATACACCAAAATTATTCACAGAATTGTGCAAGCATTTGGAGTCTCATCAATGTTTTAGTAGACGTGGACGTAAGCATATATGCATGTTATGTTACGATGATACTTTATTCATGACGGAGGAAATTCATACGGGAAATATAGGAATTCGAAATGAGTTTAAATTTAAGGGAAACTTGCGTAATATATCCATGTGTAAAACTCACTTTCACGATATACCTAAGTTTTGAAATTATAAAAAATATTACACGCTATACCTCCAAATCTTCCTATATATTCTGCAACATACCATAATGTTCTACTTCGGAATACAATCCAAAACACACTATACTTTAATTTGGAATACAATACTCTGACAGTCTTACTAAACATACCACAATATTAATATTTAGAATACAAGGTTTGACTTGTGAGTAAATGACCTCAGAATCGGGACTTGAAGGTTCCAATAGGTTCGTATGATGATTTCGGACTTGGGCGTATGTTCGGGTTGAGTATCGGGATGCTCGGGAGCATTTCAACGCTTATTGAGGAAAGTTAACATTTTGAAGGTTTTAAAATTTCCTAAGTTTGGTTTGAAGAGTACTTTGGTGTTATCGATATCCGTTTGGGGTCCCTTTCCTTGGAATAGGTTCGTATCATGATTTGTGACTTGTGCGTAAAGTTTGCCGTTATTCCGGAATGTTTAAGTGTAATTCGGACGCGTTCGTCGAAGTTTGAATGTTTGAATGTTGAATGAAGGTTTCGATCTTCGATTTGTAGTTTTCGTCATGTATTGGGACTTGTTGGTAGGAATGGACGAGGTCCCGGGGGCCTCGGGTGTGTTTCGGGATGGTTTTGGACCAAGTTTGGACGATTTGCTGCTGCTGGGTACTGGTGTGTTTCGCAATCGCGAAGAAGGAAATTGGAGGGGGCAGCTGATTGCCCTACGCGAATGCGAAGACGGGTCTGCGAATGCGTCGGTTGGCCTAGCAGTGCTTCGCGAATGCGGAGGCCCAACCACAATCGCGATGAGGAAATGGAGGAAACGGGGCAGGAGGCCTTTGGCCTACGCGAACGCGACACAGGAATCGTGAACGCGGAGGGTCGGGCAGTGATGCATCGCGAACGCGATATGGAGGCCGCGAACACGAAGAAAGTTTCTGGGGCAGTGAAATTTTTGGCCTTCACGATCGCGAGGCGTTTTTTTCGATCGTGAAGAAGTGAATTTTGGGCAGACTTGTTTTAAATCGAGGATTTGTCTCATTTTCACCTCATTTCTTCCATGGGAGCTGACTTTGGGGCAATTTTGGAGCGCGATTTTCATCATTAATCTTGAGGTAAGTAATTTTGTACACATTGTGAGTTAAATACATGGATTATATGTGGATTTAAACATGAAAAGTTATGAAAATTGTGGGATTTTGGTAGAAAAATCTAGAAATTATATTTTTGGATTTTGACCACGATTTTGGAAATGGAATAGGGGACAAATTATATATTTGAGTTCGTGGTGTTATGGATACTATTTATCTTCGAAAATTTTCGGAATCCGGGCACGTGGTCCCGGGGTTTGAATTTGTTGACTTTTCGAGTGGAGTTGAGAATTTTTATAAATTGTTAATTTATGCATATTGGAGTATATTTTGATTAATTTACACGTTGTTTGACTAGTTTCGGATCGTTTGACTTTGAATTGAAGAGCTAAAGAGGCATTGGAGGCGGTTATGGAACTTTGGAGCGAGGTAAGTCTCCTGTCTAACCTTGTGAGGGGGAAACTACCCCTAGGTGATGTAATTATTATGTGCTACTAGTTGTAGGTGCTACATACGCACGAGGTGATGAGAGCCCGTACGTAGCTAAAGAAAGTTTATGTCCGGGTAGACTTAGGACTTTATCATGTAATATTTGAATTACTTGAGCTCACTCTGCATGCTTAATTAGTTGAAATTTATTTATATTACACACACACACATGCACCCCCCCCCCCATATATATATACAAGACTTATCACCTTGAGTTATTGGCAAGTTATTTGAGGAACGGTAAATGTTATATTCACTTTATGCTCATGTACTCTATTGTAAGCACGTGCCACGTAATTTGATAAGTTCCTTCCTTTCTTGTGGAGCAGTCCGAACGCCTCAACAGTGTAATAGATGCATCTATGGTTCGTGTCGCTCGACCCTCGGTAGTGTACATATTATTCTAGATCGAGCCGTATGACCTCGGCATAATCGTGCATTATATCGCTAACATTCTGGATATTTACGAGATTATCCTTCCACGGATGCCCGACATTTTATATGGTATTTCCTTATCCGTTTGATACTGGCACTTGATACATCTGAGCCGTTGAGATAGAATACGAGACTGAGAAACCTATGTTTTTAAAAGAAATTTTTATAAGATTATGTAACTTACAGCTTTACCCCATTATTATTGTTGTGCTTCATGTCTGTTTATGATTGATGTTATAAACGTCAATACCACACAAGGAGGGGGGGGGGGGGTGATTTGTGTGGTACCTAATTTTCGCGTTAGAAGAACCTGGTTCTTCTAAGCGTTCTAACTACAGCAGTTTGCAGAATAATAAATGCTGAAAGTAAAGTGCACATAGATTTTTACGTGGAAACCACCTGGCTCAAAAGGTGAAAAAACCACGACCTACTACTCAGTAGGATTTTCCCAAACTCCACTAAAATCACTGAGCCAAAAACTGCATTTACAAAACTCTTTGTAAACCTAAGGATTAACTCTAATCCCAATGTAGCACACAGCCTCAACTGTTGCGACACTTTCAAGTTAACTCTAACTTGAATACTCAATATACCTATTGCAATTGCTTCTATGAAAGCTGAAAGGTACAATATGAAAACCTACTACAATTGAACTGGACTTAGAATAAACACAATGATGAAACTGGTTCTTCTATCTTAGTTCATGTAGCTTCAGACGTGCACACTTGTATCTCGCATATGTTGCTTGCAAATCAGACTTGATCTTTTTGCTCTCAAATATGCTTAACTTCTGCTTATGTGCAATCACCTGTAAAAGAGAACAATCGTTATATTTATAGAGTTAGTACTCAGAGTTTGATAAGAACTCGAATTGTGGATCCTTTGACAATTCGAGTCCAAGAACAACTCTAACTCCTAATCCATATCCTTGATCCGGATATAATTCTCTTTTCATAAGGAGACTTCAACTCCTTATCCTGTATGCAATCTTTTCGATCAATTCAGAAGATATTGTTGCTGATCCTTGAGACTTATCTTCTTCACGCGTATGTCACATGTGTAAGCATATCAACACTGTGTGTCTCACATGATGGACCTGGTTCATGACTGAGTTCATTTTGTCAATCTTCAAAACTTCATCTGAACTTGGGCCAACAAATTCCCCCTTTTTGATGATGACAAACTTTGTGCTTTTATTGATCAGAGACCCTGTGGAACTCAGCTTAATTTTCACACTTTAATTTAACTTATCATTAAGGACCAGGTTTAATCAGGTTATAAACATCACATTTTTCAGAATACAAAGTAAAGCACAATATCTCTTTCCCCTTTTGGCATCATCGAAAAGTTGCATTTTATTAGAATCCCAGATGTTAATTATTACTCATGGCCACTGGGGCAACTGCAAGTGAAAACATGATTTAGTTAATCAATAATCAGCTTCACAGAAATTTAACTATTAAGATCAGAAGTTTCATAGAACAAGAGAAAACAAAGCACATTGTCATTGATTAGGAGATGTTTCTACAAAACAGACCACAAAAAGAAAAACAAACATCCAACCATGAGCAAAAAAAACAGAGAAAAGTCCCGAATCTGGGTCACTGAAGGAGTTTCTAAACTGGTTCTAGGGCTTGGAGGAACTAGAGGGTTGAGATTGAAGAAGATTAAGCATTGTTTGGAGCATCCCTTCACTCTTTTCTTTTTCCTTTGCTAGCTCATCTTTGAGGCCATTTCTTTCACTTTCCAGTTCAGCAATGCGAGCCTGGAGCCTAGCAATTTCTGCATCTTTTGTTCCACATTCTAGAACCAATGCCCTAACTTTGCTGTTCACAGGAGTCTTCACGGATGAACCAGGTTCAACTGGGGTTACACTTAGCAGATAATCACAAGCCTGTAGAGTTTTGATCCCAAAGTGCTCTTTGCTGGAGGCCATCTCCCACTTCTTCAATGGCACATCTAACTTGGCCAAGACAGTTGTCAGTATAAACCCATAAGGAGTGGCATGGGCCTTGGAGCCATTTATCACTCTATCCAGCAGCTTGACAATGAAACTAGGCCAGTTAATCTGCTTTCCTGTCACAAGACACTCCAGAAGGACCAGGTCCATATAATTTGCAGTGTGCCTTCTCTCCTGTCTGGGCAACAGACACTTGTTCACAAATTCAAATAGCACCTTGTGCTCAGGCTTCATCTCACTCTTTTGCACAAACCTAGCCTCAGGCACATCTTCAGTAGACTTGGTATCACAGAAATTCCGGGTGATTTGGAGAGCAGAAGGGAGAGAATCTAGACAAGGCCACCTTTGCCTAGTATAATCATCATATC